TGGTGTTCAAAACTTGCTTTTTAGCCTGTTTTTCTGGAGGGGAGGGGGGAAAAAAAGCACTGCAGGGTTTTTTAATGGGGTGTGAACTGCAGGGGAGCCAAAAAGCACTTGTTTTTGTTTCATTTCTGCCCGGCGTTTTTCTGTATCTTCGTCATCATGGATCATGCATATGATTAAGTTTTTATTGATGTATGATTCATGCATGAGGGGGACTAATCACTGATTCACTTTAGTAAAAATACCAGCATGCATGCTGCTTTGCCATCCCCACAGTAGCGATGCAGTAACTCTTAAGATCAGGAAAAAAAAACAACTAACTTTTCTTGATGCCAAATGCTGTAAAGCAAAACAGAAGAACAGACCTAGCCCTCCACGGAGCTGGAAGCAGGCTGCTCGTTTCAACTCGTTTTCCTTATTCTTTCGTATTCTCATCAGTGGAAATAATGATGTATGAAAGCAGAGCTGAATGCTTTCTAAATGTTTTCTGACCAAAAAAGAAGTAAGGCTGTAGTTCACACGCTGGCTTCAAACAAAAGATGAAAAGCTTCATTCTTCAGCGAGAAAAAAATCATTATTTTGGAGTTGATCGCACCGCCTGATCTTTGCTCCGAATGACCACATTGTGGACTTTATAATTTGTGTCAATTGCCGTTCCTTTTTCGTCCGACCGTCGGCGCAGGAAGGTCTCCTCGATTGGGTTAGTCCGCGATGGCTCCTTCTTTTCCCTTTGACGCCTCTTCATTGCATAAAGCCAATCTCGCACAGTGGAGGTACCAACAAACCAGCTTTCTCCCCTCAAACCCTGGAGGTTGTATACAGAAGTGATAGGGAGCTCATGAAAAACTAGATCATGTCCAGTCGCTGTTGCCCGTGGGTAGAATTACTGTGGACCTTGTTATAGTTTGGCTATAGAAGGCATTTTGAACTGTCAAGCTTGGCATTCAATTATACAGCAGTGTAATGTATGACTCTCTCCGCCTTTCTCTCTCTCACACACACACACACACTCACGAGCAAACATGTGCATTATTTGTGTGTTTGTCAACTCCAGCATGCACTCAGATCAGGGTTTCTGTTTGACTTTTTTTTTTTTTATTCCAGCACATGTAACCGTCTTCGTGTACAAATAACAGGCCATCTGTGCACAGATTCGTACATCCAAACACTCATTTTCGCAGGTTTCGCATGTGCGGTGCGTTGTTGAATGTCAGAAAGAAGTCAAAGGGAAAACTAAAAGCACACATTTTCCCTCTCAAGGACGTTTGAATTGTCAAAAACACAAGGCGCTCTCATTTGTGCATTTATTGACAATGCAGGAATGGATCTATAGCTTTTGTTTCACACCCAAGAGTGGATGTTTTTAGCTGATTTTGACAATATGCTCCCTTCCCCTTCCTGCAAACACTTTCTAAACTCAACTGTGACGCATAGCGGTGTACAGACAAAGCTATAGGCTATACAGTAGAGACGCAGAGCCTGTCAGTATCGACCCATGCCTGCGAAACAGAAGGAAAAAAAAACAATGCTGGTGTGCTTTGCGAGTTTTCACTGACTAGTTTTTTGAGAGACAGACCTGATGGCTACAGAGGATTCATCATCTCCAAGGCCAGCAGCCGAAGATGCGGTGTAATTTTAATGGAATCAAGTTTCAGGCTGCCCACAGCTGTACCAGAAAGAGGGGGAAAAAAAATCCAAAGCAAGAACATACATTCTGAGCCTTTGCAAATTCTAACTCAGCAAAAAGTTGCGAGCCACAAATAATTAGCATAGCCCGATGTGACTGCCGGCCATTAGCGTTCACAGTTACAAGGACCTGGGCTGTGCTGAACGGCCGTCCATCTGTTCCAGCCTGAGTCAAGGCTCCGCAAACTGTGGTTTCTAAACGGCGTCCATCTGTTCCTACTCGCTGTCGTTTTCTCCTGATTACGACCCAGCGTGCACCCTGATGAATCCGAGGAACGTTCGGCTCGATTGTGTATTTAGTGGAGAATTGCTGGCAGCAGGTGCTTTCTTAGGCATCGTGTACGATATTGGAATTGTTCATCTGTCACTACTGTAATAGCTACAAGAGCGTCTGATAGTAAGATGTAGGTGCATGATTTGCTTCTTTCTCACTCGAACTGTTGCTGTATGCTTTATTTTCTCTCCTGTCCTACTTGTTACTGAACCTGCTACAGATTCCCTGTTTACTCACAACCCCTTCCGCTGCATGTAAATCCGAGTCCTCCTCCCGTTCCCCGTGTTGTTGTGTCCTGCTTCTCCCAGACGTCACAGCCCTCTCCCTGTCACTCTAGGCTCCGGCTGTCAGATGAGAACCCTGGACAGCGGCATCGGCACCTTCCCCCTCCCCGATTCCGTCACCAGGGCCAGCGGTCGCCACATCCCTAAATCTGAATCCAGCCCCGATGGGGTGACCGCCGGCTCCTCTTCTCACCCCGACCCCTCACAACCCGATGTGAAAGTGCCTTCCCTTCCAAAAACCCGCCCGCATGCCCCTACCAGCATGGGTCACTCCCTGTCCGACCCCAGTGTGACCTGCAGCAGCAACCCCCAGGACGCCCAGAGCCGCCTGCCCAAGTTAGCGTCCGCAGGTAAGTCACAAACTTCTTCATGCTACGAGCTTCCCGCAGAATAGACGTGCTACCTGCTGAACTTTGTGTTTAATGCAAAGGAGGAAAAGTTGGCGTACTAACACATTAAGCCAAGATGGTGAACTGCTGGTAGATTGGTTCTATTAGCATGGCTGCAGAGAACATAAACTGTATATGAAGAGTGGATGTTTCTTCTAGGTCAGAAAGCGAAGGCAAAGTGTCTTAAACCCTTAACTGCCAGCAGGGGGCGACTTTCTGGTTGCAGAAAAAGTCAGATTGTATAGAAGTCTATGAGAAAATTATCCTACTTCTCACTAAATTTGTTACCTCAGTAAACATTTTTCTAATAAGTTTGTGGTTTCAATCTCTAGTTTTAAATCTCCTTCAATGCAGTGAGGTGTTTATTTTGAAAATTATGCACCCATTTTAGACAAAGAGGACGATAAAGCAGAGTAAAATAGTAAAAGCACTTACATAGCACTTCTTATTTTAGTCATACTCAAAGCACTTTGCAATCTTACTACCATGCAGGACACTTTCCTGCCATTGGACGCAACTTTGGGTTCAGTGTTTGAGCAACCTTGTAATAAAGGGACAATCTGTTCTCACACCTCCACGCCGATATCTGGTTACAAAAATCCCAAAGTCTAGTCTTCAATATGGTAGTCCACAAATCAATGCTACTTCCATTATCTGCATATAGTAGATGGTAGGGAATGTTGACTTTATGAATAATTAGGAGATAAATAAAGCTTCCACTGCTACAAAAGGCTAGCTACCTTAGTTTGAGCCTATTGTGGGATATTATTACATCTGAGTACCCACTAAGCACGTGTTGTCCATTATTAGACCAAATTAGCAATATGCAATATCAGAAAATTGCATAAATCAGTGTTTCCCAATGCCAAACATCACTTCCTCGAATGTCTCGTTTGTCCACAAACCAACAATATTCTGTTTACTATCATAGTGGAATAAAGGAAAACTGAAAGTATTGACATTTGGTAATCTGGATTCACAGAGTTTAGTTTTTTTCTTTTAAAAAAATTACTTAAACTGATTAATCAATTATCAAAATAGTCAGCGATTGGATTAACAGTTGAGTATTCATCGATTATTGAATAAATCATTGCAGCTCTAAAGAGTATAGAGTGACAGTTCACTATTAAAAGCGTGTCCTCTGCGATTATATGTGCATTCACATATTTCAACCAAACTGCTGCGTCATGCTGCCGGGACGGCTGCTATAGTTGTAAAGTGTTCTTCAGAGATCACCAGGGGTTTATGTTTCAGAAAATGGATCCTTGGCTTTTTTTAAATGACAGCATATCCTAACATTCACCAGAGATTCGTCTTGTCAGCGTTTCTCTAAACCAGCTTAAAGATCATCATTACCAGCCGGTTGTGGCGCTGCGTTAAACAAAGTAGAAAAACGCTTTGTTCTTTCTAATTGGTGTCGTCGATCAAGGCCAGAGTCGAAAACAAATTACGATTACCGTGCTAAATGGCAAAAAGCCAGGCCTTGAACGTCTGAGACAGCTTGTTTACCTTTTGGGAAGCAAGTGAAATATGGAGCGTCACTGTACTTTATGTTAACACATTTTAATCCTGAACGCCCAAGTGCTCCAGACAAGCAGACAAGAGGAAGTTGTTTGGTTTATTAAACTCTGATTAAAAGAAGAACCTTGTTTGTTCAGCTAATTCCGAGGCTAATGCATCAAGCCTGACATCTGATACTCAGCTGAGATCGTAGGAGCCCGTACACTCCCAGGCCCCGAGGAAAACTAACAAATGCAATTAGATAAGCATGTCAACACAGCCATAGATCATAAAGCACCTTCTGCCTCGGCGTCGGCCGTGATGCACAACAGAATGGTGGTGGGTAGGACGCAATGAGTTGGCTGATTAAAGCTACAATAACACGCAGGGATGAGTGATCACACCCGGAGATTTATGCTTACAGGACATTAGGCTGCATCTATTTCACCTCAGTGCTGCGGTGGCACTGCAGAGGCAGCAATTCGAGTCACAACCGTCGGTGCAAATGCTCCTGTTGAGTCTCCCCCGTGGAACAAGTTGATTAGGAGAGCCTAAAAGTATGCTCTGCATCTCTATCATGTGTTTTACTCCTCCGTACTTTCCATTATCATTATGCAGAATCAGAAAACTAAAGGACGCCTGAAAAGAAAAGAAGTAGCGTCTGTCACGTTGTTTTCCTCCTAATAGGCGAGGGGAGGAAGGTGAAAGTGCTTTTGTAATCTGGAGGTAGATCTTGCAGACGGAGACAGAGGCGTGTTATTGTAATACAGCTGAATCTCTTTCAAATGAGAAGATTTCTGAATGTGAGACAATTAAGCTGGCGTCCGTCCGAGACGGCAGTAGGTAGAGTGATAATAAGGCGGGACGTCGCCGTGCGACAGCTGAGAGCTGTTATATGTGGGCTGCCGGGAGTCACGCGTAGAACAATCACGGGGTGGACACCATTAATATTTGATGGAGCAGATATTGTGCGGCTTCATTCATACATGCAGAAAAATGGATGTGTAGCCGGCTGGACGGGTTTTGCTTGGATGGACGTGCGAGATGCGTCCTGTGTTTCATCAGCCTGCCAGATGGAGGAAACATTGACACAAATGTTCCTCTTCCCACTGCCTATATGCAGACAAATTGAAGGAAAAGTCAAGCATGTGACACCAGAACATTCTCACTTCTAGTCTCTAGGGTGGAACACCACACTTCCAGAGGATGCTCATTGATGTGGTGTTTTGATGATGGCAGTGGAGAGTAAATGGATTGAAATCGTCTGTAGGTGTTGGAGTGATCTGGTGACTGTAAAGGCCACAGCGTATGGATCGAGGCACTGTTATTCTGAAACCCATCCGTATAGAAGCATTTCATTGTATTGATTTGCAATGTTTCTCACCTCTAAAGGGCTCAAATCATGCCAGCAAAATACCCTCCACAGTACAACAGAGCCACCGGATCCCCTCCCTGTAGGGGTCAAGGATTCCATTATTTCCTTTAATTTGTTACCCGTCTGTACTTTACATGAGGTGGTCGTGTGGTCTAACGCGAGGTCCTTCTGTTATTTACTGCACACCTCCTGACTCCCCTCTCTCTTTTTTTTTTATGTCTTTTGGCGTATAGATGCAATCAGGACAAAGAGGTCGAGTCTCTGCGCCCCTCACAGCAACGTCTCGGCTTCCACTGACGACAACGAGAAAGAAACGGAGAGGAAGACGAAGGACCACGATATGCCCGGCGTAAGTCACATATTTATACATCCTGGAAAGTTAAAAGAAATCAAGACATAAAAAAATAAACTGCCCCAAAGTTTGCACAATTTCGGCAAAATGCTTCTGTAAGATTTCCAAGAAATCTGCTTTCAAAAGCCTGACGAAGGTATTGAAACCTGAATGCAGCTCCGCTCTGCAAAAGTTATTCTTTCAGGGGTTTTTTTTCTTTCTTTCTTTTTAAGTTATTCTGCCAACAACAAGGTGGCAAAGAAGCTTCGTCCCATTGAATTTTGAACAAAGCTAAAGATTTTAGATTTTTTAATGGTTTTTCTTGTGGCTTTCTTCGTTCTCTATTCTCTACGCCGCAGAACGGATAATAGGGCTTGTCTTCATGTCTGGGTTTTCAAATGACTCCGGCTCTTTGCTTGTGAATAGGAACGAGCCCTGCGAGTGTGCACGTACTCAGGCAGCAGCAGCAGCGACACCGAGACCGAACACGAGGGAACCGGTAGCACCCTGGGCTCGCCGCAACGGACCCTGATCAACAGAACTAAGAAAGGCGACTCAGGTCTGGTTGATGGTTTTAGTCAAGAAATCATTTATGAAACTCTATTCATTTTATAGAACTATGCTCTAGAAAATAGTTAACAGAAAACAATTAACACAACAGTTTGCATCAATCTTTTAAATAGTGTACAGCCAACATGCTACATTGAGTTAGCAGAATTAGCAGGTTTTAAATTAACCAACTTAGAAATTTAAGTTCAACTTACTTACATTTTTAAGTTGATGCAATTAGTGTTATTATGTCAAATTAACCAATCAAAATAATGTTTAAGCTCAACAGAAAACAATGAACACAACAGTTTGCATCAATCTTTTTGATGAAATTGTGTTTAGCCGACATGCTACATCAAGTTAGCAGAATTAGCATCCTCGTTAATCGAATGTATTTTCAAGTTTTAAATTAACCAACTTAGAAATTTAAGTTCAACTTACTTACATTTTAAGTTGCTGCAATTAGTAGCGTTATGTCAAACTAGCCCATCAAAATAATGTTTAAGCTCAACAGTTTGCATCAATGTTTTTAATGAAATTGTTTAGCCGACGTGCTACATTGAGTTAGCAGAATTAGCTTTTCCTCTTTAATCAAAGGTATTTTCAAGTTTTAAATTAACTAGCTTAGAAATTTGAGTTCATATTACTTACATTTTTACGTTTATGCAAACTAACCCATCAAAATAATTTTTAAGCTCAACAGAAAACAGTTAACGCAACAGTTTGCGTCAATGCTTTTGATGAAATTGTGTTTAGCCGACATGCTACATTGAGTTAGCAGAATTCGCTTTTTGTCTTTAACTGAAGGTATTTTCAAGTTTTAAATTAACTAACTTAGAAATTTAAGTTCAAATTACTTACATTTTTAAGTTGATGCAATTACAAACGTTATTATGTCAAATTAACTCATCAAAATAATGTTTGCAACTTAAAAGGTTTATCTTAATCGCTAATTTAGAATTTCTATCCTCATCAAGTGTCCTTTGAATTACTTTTTCCAGTTTAGTTTTCTCCACATTGTTTCCTTTCTTTCTATATTCTTTTTTTTTTGGCTAAAACAAATCCCTCCGCCCACAGTCGAGCCGAATGAAGAGACCCTCAAGAGAAGAAGCGTGGAGAAATCCTTGTCAATCATGGACTACTACCAACACGACATGTTCACGCACCTGGAGAAAGACAGCAGGAGGATTTCCCAGTACAACTTGTTACACAAAGAGTCGTCCCTCGATGGCAAAGCGGGAGAAAGGCTCAGCGTGAGTATTAAAACAGCTCATTGTTCACAGCTAATCGGTTTCGCTCATTAAAGGGCTGCTTTACAGGCGTGCTGCTGATTCCCATCAAGCGTTTTATTGGTTCTTATACCATCTTGGGCTGTCACTTCACATACTGTATTTACTTTTTGGGAAGAGAAGCTGCTAGATGTTAAAACCGGAGTCGCTGTTAGTTTTATTTTTTTGTGTCTAACAGACTGATTTCATTGACTGGTATGTCTCAGTATAACACCTGAAGGAGATAATGCACTCTGCCCCGTGTTGATTGTTCCAGAATAAATCAATTACCTCATTTAATGCAGCCCAACGGAGGCGCTTTAAAGTGATAAAAAAGCGGCTCCCAGGTGTAGACGTATGCAGCTTTACACTGTATGAAGACGGCGTGTGTCAGGAGAGGCAGAAAAATAGCACTTGCCCTCAATAAAACTCTTCACAGGACAGAAGATGCATAAGTTTTCTTTTCCTTGAAGTGCTCCTGCTAAGTCACACACTTCGGCAAGGGGACTTTTCCGACGGTCCGAGTGACTCCTGTCGACTTTACCTTTGAATTAGCTCCCGAGGCGAATCCGCTAAACCCCACAGTTTTCCACCGCTGCAATTGTTTGCAGATTTTCATAGAAAAAGCCGCCTAATTGCTTTCGATCGCTTCGCCCTCTTGTGTCAGCGGGTATTTGCCTACGAGTATTTAACACTCCTGAATGACAAATGAGGATCAGAGACCATGAAATGGCCTCCAGCTCGCATGGACCGGCTCTATGGTGCAGCCAAACTCTCCTCTCTTACTCTGCTTCGGCCCCAACACCAACCCTGACACAAAAATCTATATTCTGAAGAAAAAAAAGTGGTCTGACTCAACACCACTGTAAAAACAATTGTGTGAAGGGGTGGTTAAGGGAAGAACAGGATTTATTTAGTGAGCTGACCTCTGATTTCATCTTTAAGATCACATCTAAACTCTGCGTGATTTGTTTACGCCCACAATTTGGAATAATTATCCAGAGTTTCAAGGTGAAAGGTGAAATGTGCCGTTTCTGCACGATTAAACGCTCAAGTGTTGTTTTTGTAAAAGCTGCCTCCCTCTGAGCTGCATGCGTAAAAAAAAATGCCTACATGCTACCGTGACAAATTTGGCTTGATGTTTGGTAGTCGGGTGATGCGCTGAGTCGAGGGTGATTCAGCAAGTAAACACGGCTGCTCGAGTGCAACACTTGAGCAACACTGAATCCCTCTAAGCTCCAGGGTCACTTTTTCCTGAAGCAAAAATTTCAGTCAAGTATCACATGATTGTACGGCGGCCCCGCGTCTCCCATTTAACAAAGCAAAGTTCAGTGATTGCACTTGAACTGTGAGCGAGACTCACTTGAAAGAGGGATTTCTGATTTTGATCCGAGTCCCGGCGGAGAAGGCAGAGCATCGAACGGGAAGTTCGGATGCGGCGCTGTGCAACCAAGCTGCAAGCACGGCTCCATTAGCTGACGTGCAAGAGACGAAACGCGTCGGGCAAAGCTGTGTTTGTCTCAAACCTGCCTGTCATTTAATTGGATGCGGTAGGCTACGCTTCTGAGGGCGGGGAGGGGGGGGCGGTCGGCTACAGCGCTGACGGGGAATGCACCAAAACTGCAAGGTCAAGAGTTCAACTCCCAAAACAAGCAGGGATCATGTCCTGTCCTGTCAACACACTGCTCTGATTATATATGATCGTGTTGTTTAGTAGAGTTTACATTGACGGTGCAACATTTTGAACATAACTGCAGCACATAATAGATAAAGATATGGTGGATTAATGGTGTGTTAGCAGAAAATGAAGCCCCACTCCCTCCGTGTGTGTTCTAATCCAAGCTGCTCTGTATTCAGGTGCACCTGAGTCCCTCCATTTGAAACTGTCGCCCTTCACCCCGCACTTATAAACAGACTGACCTCCCACACTGCACTGGAGGAGCAAGCGTGTCAGCTCCCTAAACATCCAAACAACTTTAAATATTTTAATAATGCCCGGGTGCATTTGTTTAATTTGAGCCAGTAGAGAATCTTTACTGCCGCTCAAAGGCTCCCACTCCGGTCTATGGGTGTCTGTTTCCACAAAAGACCAGGAGATGAAGTGAAGATGTTTGATTATATTTTGCTGGCTCACATGTGAAAAACTGTTGTAGCTGTAAATGTAGGTGGACGGAAAAGGAAATGTGGCCGTAAGATGTTGGTGGTTCTGATTGTTGCACACAGAACCTTTAGAGAATAATTAAAGCACTCTTATAAATTCAAGTAAAACAGATGGAAAGATGACTACTAGTAAAAAAAAACTAAGTGATAAACTGCTCAGTAACAATATAAAGGATAAATATATAAAAAATAGGAAAT